TATAAATAGGTAAAACATTTTCCATTTTTCAATGCCAATTCATGTCACTTAGATAAGATAAGCAATATAGAAAAATGATAAATAAGTACAATGAACAATATATTTGAATCACTGGGCATCATTTGCCTTTATTTGATCAACATAACTGTTGCAATAATGTCATCTTTTCAGAATTAGCAAAAAGAAAAAAGGGATCTGCTTTCCAACTGAGAAGTCAAATATCATATATATTTTTTTCTTTTTCTTGACCTACTTCTATAAGGTTCTATATCAGTGGTTCTCAACCTTTTTAATGCTGCGACCCCCAACCGATCGTAAGTCAAGGACTACCCAACCGGTCGTAAGTCGTGCGCCGGCTGAGGCAAGCGGCAGAGACGGCACAGGCCGACCACCGGCTGGGCCACCAGCTGGCCCAGCCCAAGGGAGGTAAGGCGCCCGCCGGGCCCCACACGCACCAACAACCCTCCCTGCGCCCGCCGGCCTCCCACCCCTGGCCCTCTTTTACTTACATTTTTAGTAGTTGCTCAGCAGGGAGGGGTGGAAACTTCCAGACAGCTCGCCTTCACTGCAGACAATTTGCAGCACCGTTTGCAGAATGGGACTTTTGGCGGGCTCAGCAGGGCAGAGACAGCCTGGACAATTCCTATTGGCTTTTGAAAGACTCTATTCAAGACTCTATTAGACTCTATTCAAGAAAGTCTATTCTATTGGCTTTCAAAAGCCAATAGAATAAAAGGGAGTAGCACAGCTAAGGAAAAGGGGAAAAAAATGGCAGACTGCGTTGTTTGGCGACCCCTGTGAAATGGTCGTTTGACCCCAAATGGGGTCCCGACCCACAGGTTGAGAACCACTGTTCTATATTGACAATCACTATCCCTACACAATCATTACTTATACCCAGTTTAAAGATGATTTCATTCATATCTTTTCATGACATCATGATTCTGCACTTCATGACATAAATATATTTTTGCAATAATCCACAAAAATAGATGAATTTAGAGAAGTTGTTTGGGAGTTAAATATTTTAAGCTATTAGAACCTTCTTCAATGACATGCATAATACCTTAAGAAAAATCAAAATATGAGAGTTTTTTTGTATGGCTGCCAAAAAATAATAGACCACAGAGAATGCAAGCCTATGAAAAGAAAATGGAGGATTACACAAATATCTTCTAAAAATTCTTGTGAACACAGAAGTTGCAACAGATTTCATAGTTGCTCACCCACTCTACATCATTCCCTTCCTCCACCTAAAGTCATTCTTCATTCCAATTTAACATATGCAGAATCAGTTACTACGAAATCAGCTGCAACTAATGCATCAACTGCTATAGCCAGATTCTAATATAGTGGAAACTCTGACATCAGTAGCAGTAAGAGTCATAAAATGTTTAAAGGATCCTCAAATAAGTTGCTAGAAATACATGAACCTTTTATCACATTTGGTGTTCTTGCAAATGAGCTAAGCAATATTTGATGGAAAATAGTAATTCAAAAAATATTGAAAATGTATAATTCAGACCAGAAACTTTTTTGTTAGCTTTTATGGATAAATCTTGGGAAAAATCACATGGTGTTTTTTATGGTTATATATGATAACATTTATATTCTCAGCATTGGAAAGATTCTATGATACCTACAATAGAAGAATGGTTAATAAAGATGACAGAACTGGCTAATTTAATGTCCCTTGTGAGAGAAAAACTACTGAAGAAATTCATCTACAATTGACAATCCTTTGTGGATTCAGGAGATAGAGAAAAATCAAATTTTAACATATGGTTTTGGTGAATGTTAAAATTTAAAAAGAAAAAAGATCACATGATCTTTTCTTACCTCTTTTCTTCTTTTGGGGAAAATGGACATTTTATCACAGTATTAAACTAAGAATCAAATATAAATGTTTCTTATATCTTTGGTAGAAAAAGTTGTAAGTCATCCTTTGTATATATTTTTCCTTCTCTTTCATTTCTTTGCATTTCTATCCTTATTTTCTTTTTACTCTTTATCTTTTCTCTTGATTACTATGTTAGTCTTTATTGTCCTTATGTATGTTTTGTAAAATGTAATTAAATTATGTGATACCAAATAGCAGTAAGATTCATAACGCACATGGGAATTGCCTGAAGTACTTTTATAAATTAAAGCTGCCATAGGATCCTGACAGTAAATTTTAAACAATAGTAACAAGCAGAGATACATCGAGTTATTACGAGAGTGGCTATCATAAACGCCTATTCTGTGCTAGTGCAGAGTAGAAAGGACAAGGCTGACATATTGCTAAAAATCTCATCACTTGTGCTGCATGTTAACGTCATTAACACAATTTGATAAGGATGCTGATTTCTTTGCCCTGCTATGGTAGCTGTATGGAATACAAATAGATGCTACAAGTATAAAATAGAAACTGAAAAAAATATTAACATTATATGTCCTACCTTGCTTGGAATTCTGAAGTTCTCAAGGGGGCTCAAATCATGAATACTCTCCTGAGGACTTTTAAGACCCTTAACGGGGGAAAAAATCAAATACGTCACTTTCTGAAGCCACAATAATTAAACAACACTTATTGATGAATATATGACTGCTTCAACTACTGCTTTAGAAGACACATATATTTGAAAACCAAACCTCAGAAAACTCAAGCTATTCTTGTGAACAAGGCTATCTAGCTACAAAATAGCTGAAGGACCTGTAACAAAAGAACCTGTATAATAAAATGATGGATTTTTTCCTCAGGATAATCCTTCATTACAATCTATGGTTTGGAACTAAGGGATTTTGTAACCCAAACGTTCCAGAAAACACTATTTGCTCAATCTTAAGATGTGTATCAGAGGAAAATTGCAAAAATGCTTGTTGAATCGCACAGAAAAATAAATCAGAGATCTTTGAAACTAAATATCCAATATTATTTCCTTAAAAAAACACTGAATATGAGATTTATGATCAAAAGGCACAATTTTGGAATATTCAATTTCAAATAATTTTTTCAATTGTCCTTATTAAAAAGCACACTTGTAATAGTTTCTCAAACAAATATTATCTGGCCCATTTTTGACTAAGAGACCTAATGACAATAATCACAGTTGCCACCCCTGTGATATTCAAATCTACAACCTTTGCATTTACCAATTGCTCCTATCATTTTTATTTACATATATTTATAACCTTTTTGCCATCAAATAGTATGAGAAAAGATTCCAGGTTTAGTTCGTCATTACATTCTGAAATCATTTCCTCAGAGAATTTAAACTGGGGAAACAAGCTCAACATGAACAGCCACAATTCAATCCTACAATGCAGCTGGAGTCCTTACATTCTTAAATGAATAATCAATGAAATAAATTACGAACAACCCAGGAAATCTTCTTTATATACCTCCTTTATTTCAGCATCAGACCTCCCTACCCAAATAATAGTAATAAATAAGTTTAAATCCTGTGGGCATTTACAAATATTCAAGTCCTACTTAACTGAATTCCTTTTCAAAGAAACGCACGCCAAATCGTATCTTATCTACAACAGAACGCATTTGGGTCTTTTCTCAGTAAATATAACAGATTATTGTGGTTTTTCTTCTCATTCAAAATTCCATTTTTTTAATTATCGGAATTCCGGCCTTACGAAACACACACCCAGACCCTCATACTGCCTATGCTGTCTTCTGCAGAAATTGTTTCAGTTACATCTTTCTTAACCTCGCTTTATATCAAACATAGGTCTTCCGTCTTCCCACCCCGCTACCTGTCGGGTCATCAGAGACTTGATTTTCTGCATGATCACACAATTTCTGCCGGCCGGCTAGTTCGTCTCGCAAACTCTCTTCGCCCATCGAACGCAGCTGCCTCTAACACAGCGAAGCCATTTTGAGCATCACATGACCCGCCTGTTTTCCTTCGGAATCATGGGATTTAGAGTTTACAATGGGATCTTTGTTTCCGGATTTTGGACGCCAATTCGCCTCTGAGAGAAATACAACTCCCACAAAGCTCAGCGGATCGTATTTCCTGTCTTTCCAATTAGCGAGTTCTCAGGAAGAAATAAGCCTTTTAGTGATAAATTAATTTTTAAAAAACCATATGATGCTTGAACGCGGAATTTGGTTATTTCCAGAAATGTATTTTGCTTCTAATGAAATAATTTCGTGATCCAAGTTATTAGTATCGATATGACTTGTTGAGTTTGTATACACCGTAACATCGCCGTGTTAAATGTCGAGAAAATGCTTTACGATGCATCACGACTGAGTCCTTTTGAGCTAAAGAAAATTATTCTAATTGCACCCAAAATCAAAGTGGTAACCAGTACTGGTGTTATATGACAATCCCACATTAATCAAGTTAATGTGCAGGCTGCTGTATTTTATGCTAGTTTCAGTTTCAGTGTGGTTTACAAAGGCAATCCCATATATGGCAAATGACAGTAGTTCATTGTGAGAACACTAGGAATCCTGCCATAGCGCGGGAATAACGCTAGCAAGAAGATTGTGAGATAATTAGGACATGACTGACTGTACAGAAGCGACTAAACTTAATCACTGATTGGCTGGGAACAAGACTCCCTTGCTCTTCCATCAGGAGCTGAGAACGAAGGATCACCCCTGAAGTGTATTCTAGCTCTTTCCATGGGAATAACACCACATCTAGAGCTAAAGTTGCTATTTTTCTAGAATTAGTTTATAAACTTGCAGCTACTCTATTACGCTGTTTCTCTTCATTGAAACGTTATGGCTTCAGGAATAAACTGAAAACTGCATAGTCTCATATAGAACCTCATCCTAGTAAAGACATTGCCTAACTTTTGCTTTTGCTATTTTGGTTATCGATTTGCATGGTTTACTCTAGTGTGAATCTATGAAAAGCCATTACCTGGAGCAGGGGTCTTCAAAGTTGGCCCTTTTATGACTTGTGGACTTCAACTCCCAGAATTCCTCATGCTGGCAGAGGAATTCTGGGAGTTGAAGTCCACAAGTATAAAGGTCAAGTTTGAAGACCTCTGTCCTGGAACAATTGGGAGGAGAACCTATACACAGCAGAGCAAGTATAAAAAATAGACTACTTATTTCTTTTAACAATTCAATTAACAATATTTGTAAGCAAGTATTAGAAAATGTAAAGAGTTTTACTTATTTCTAAACTCCCTTGACTGGTTACTAAGAAGTTGATATAATTAATAACAGGGAGGGACTAGTTTCAAGTGGCTTATGGAAAATATAGTCCCTAGACTATGTTTTCTATAAACCACTTGAAACCACAATTCTGCAAACTCATTTTAGCTTAATGTGTTATATGTAGTGATCTCATGCAGTTATTTTTATTCTTCAGTAATTAAATAAATCAAAATGAGCTAAATAAAATCCAGTTATGGTAAACACTGGTAATCGTGCAGTATTGACATAGCCAAGGGATTGGTTTCCTACATTGCTAAGCCACAATACAAGTTTAGTTTTGACTTAATGTGTTGAATGAACTCAGGTATTATGGCTAATTCAACAAAACATGCTGAAGCAAAACATGGTTTAAATTATGCAAAACAAGTTTTAATCTGAATTTCACAAGTGAAAATGAACTCTCTTAATGTTCGCATTACATTCTGAACCAGAAACTGGATTTCAGTTTAGGCTATGCTTATCCAGCCAAGTTTATAATTCAGAAAGTCTTGGAAATTCAGAAAATAGTGAGTCTAATATCTTGGTTAGCATATAGTGCAACACATAGGCTGAATAAAATTGCTGTTTATTTCATCTTGATCTCTTTTTTAGTTCTGTTGATTTACTTGGGTTTAGCAAACTGTGAGGTTAACAATGGAAACGCCCTTTATAATTCTGGTCAGGTAGATTTCCCAGCTAATTATAAGGTGACCAACTTTTTTACAACAAAAAGGAGGACACAAATAAATTGAAGAAAAAAATATCGTAAATAAAAGAAACATTGTATTTATTGCAACAATAATACAGAATACACTATAATATGATAAATGCATAATAAAAAACATTTGTAACAATAACATTTTATATTGTAATTATGCTTACATGCCTATTAATTATTTAAATGAGTACTTTTCCACTGAATGAATATTTTTTGTCAATGTATCATCTTCTAACAATATATTGGAAATATCTGAACAAGAAATATCCTTCATATTGAATTTTAAGGCAAGTGTATCAACATTCAATCTCGATTTCTCACTTGTCCAAAAATCTACACGGCTGGATTGCGCGAGGGTGGGCGGCGGAGGCAGGTGTTGTGAGCCAGGTGCTCCAGGACGGCCATGTAGGTGCGCAGGGTGAGGTGGTGGCAGCGCAAGTCAGCACTGCGTAGACCATCAGCTGGCGCAGCCCATGGAAGGTCAACTGCCCGCCATGCCCCCGCCCATAGCCGCCCCGCCAGCACCGCTGCCCTGCTATGGAGAGCCGGCCCCGTGGCTCGCAAAGCACTAGCAGAGCCAGCTCCGGCCCTGAGCCACCCCCCCCCAGCACCACCGCCCACCCTGCGCATCCCCGTAGAGCCGGCCCCACGGCTCGCAAAGGCAAAGCACCAGCTGCACCGGCTCCGGCCCTGCAGCCACCCCCCCAGCACCACCGCCCACCCTGCGCATCCCCGTAGAGCCGGCCCCACAGCTTGCAAAGGCAAAGCACCAGCCACGTTGGCTCCGGCCCTGCAGCCGCCCACCCGAGCTTTCCCCCAGCACCACCGCCCACCCTGCACATCCCCATAGAGCCGGCCCCACGGCTCGCAAAGGCAAAGCACCAGCTGCCGCAGCTCCGGCCCTGCAGCTGCCCCCCAGCCGCCCCCCAGTACCACTGCCCACCCTGCGCATCCCCGTAGAGCCAGCCCCACAGCTCGTAAAGCACCAGCCGTGCTGGCTCCGGCCCTGCAGCCACCCCCCAGCCACTCCCCAGCACCACCGCCTACCCTGTGCATCCCTATGTAGAACCGAACAGGGAAGATCAAGAGAAACTTACTGCTCCAGTCTCCTCCAGCTATCTGCAGAACTAAGTAGGAGATGGTGTAGTTGGGTAGCAGTGAGGGGTGCAAAGTTCCTGCAACTTGCATGTGCAAAGTTTGCCGCCCAGGTGTTTTGGCGCACTCAGCAGCAATTCCTATTGGCTTTCGAAAGCCAATGGAGGAGTAGCACAGCTCAGGCAAAAGTTGAAAAAAAACATCAAAAAAAGGTCCCGGAACGCCTTCTGAGCGTTCTATGAGGGAAAAAAAGCCCTGCAGATTAGTCTTCAAATATAGAAAAAGAGGACATTTAGGAGGACATTTTCAAGGGAGGACAGAACTCACAAAAGGAGGACTGACCTCCCAAAAGGAGGACGGTTGGTCACCTTACTAATTATTATGAATGGAAACCACAGCTTACAAGGCTATGTTATCTCTACATTGCCACCATTTTCATGTTGTCTGGATTACTGAGGCCCTTCTGAGGGAATTTGTAATTTGCACCCTTTCTCTTTCAGGAGGGTTGCCCATTATCTTCAAAATCTCTGATAGTGCTCTGCTTAGCCATAAATATATACCTGAAGGGTTTTTAAAAATCTGCATTTTTATCATAGTTGTATGTTGCTGAATCTTACAATTTTTTCAATTTGCTATTTTTAAAGCAATTTTGTACTTATTTATTTAAAAGCTTTAGGACTAATTTTATCTAACCTAAAAGACACAATATAAACTAACAAAAATCATTTGCAATAATCCTCAGAGTTTGTACATTTTTATGTTCTGTTTTTTTCCTGGAGTTGTTTAACTAACTGTCTGCACTGATCAGATGAATATAACCTGCATATGGTCTTTAAGCTCATTTATTTTTTATCGGTGCTGAGTGATTCATACTGTATGCCCAATTTATCGTGATCTATATTTGCTGTGAACATACCAGAGTAGAGAATTATGATAGGGCTATAGGCAATGAAGATGTTGAACACTAATCTAACAGGTGTTCCACTCCCTGTGTCATTTATACACATAGTCAAATCACCTGAAGCAAGACAAGGCAGTGGCTCGTAACTCACACCTGATTTGCCTAACAAATAAACTCCACAGCTGCTGGATCAAGGCTCAGTCTCTGCACTGAAAGAAGATGGCCTACACACAAAACAAGCTACTTTTTAACACCATGTTTTGTGGCTTGCAAATCTATGTGCTCTGCCTATTTTTAGGTAAGATTCTGCATGATTTTCTGTCCTTTTATGAAACTTTATCCAGGTACAAGGCTTTACAGAATACATAAATATCTTAACTTAATAGCTTTATGGATATAAAATTGGTAGTGTTAATGCTATTAGCATCATAGAATAAAATATCACCATGGGGGTTTGTATAAATGGAAACTACAATTCTGTAACTGCATGTCTGGATTCTTGTGAATAAACTGTTAAGACTTTCTTCAGAGCAGATGAGATTGTTCTATAGTTCACACATTATGTAATATGCTATCTTTTAGGAAGGTTGAATCAACACATACTGTACACACTGGGGACAGCAACTGTTCTCATGTATCGCTGAATGTAACCGATGCATTTTTAAAACTTTATAATGCCATATGTGATAATTCAATGTGTTCCTTAAATTCATTCTGATATTTTTCTATAAATAGTATTTAGCATTAGAAATTAAAAAGTAGATTTTTTTTCTGATATTATTTTAAGAGAAGGGGGATTATGGCCCTTCCAAAACTGCTAAAATGCTACTCTCAGCAGCAATAGCCCATGTGATCAAAGGTGAGGGATATTAGGAAGTGTAGTTCAGCAATGTCTGGAGGGCTGCTGGTTCCTTATTTCTGCATTATTGTTTCCAAGTTGATTACACATACAGGAGATATAACAATTTCCACATTATACTTAGAGTAACAGGTTTGTAATACCTAGAGGGTATTTTTTTCATTCCTGTGCAAACTGGGTTTAAATTAAGCATTTGTTCCAATATCATTCTATTCATTGTGGAAATATTCACAGGGTTTTAGACGACATTATGTTAATCCTGGGTGTACCTTGCCTAATAATTTCACAATTAAATAAATTCCAATGTTAAAAACCAAACAAACCAATTATGTTCTACTATAGTACAATATTTGCATTTTGCCACTAGTATAAGGTAAAGCAACAACAAATTAAACTAGGTTAATTTCAAAATTACACTGTCACTGAAAAGTGCTTTAAATAAAATATAAACCTTTCCCATGGAATGTTGGTTTATGTATGAAACTCATAATATGTCATCTTTTTTATTTCAGTAAAATAGTTCAAGGACGTTTCCAGTCAACAAGGGTGGTGTTGTGCTTACTAATACTTTAAAACTGATGTAAAAGCCAAATGCAGCCTAGGCAAAAGTTGGAGGTCACTTTGGGAATATCTAATTTGTTTATACTGAATACAAAGAAAGCAGGTACAGACACCAGAAGCTAAGAAAGTGCATTATTTGCTTCAGAAGATTCTTTCATGTTTCAGATTCTTACAAGTTGGTAAATTATATTTGAAATTTGTTGTCTATGGATCAACCATTCCTAAACTTGTTTTTAATAAAAGAAAAATTTGAATACCAAAGCAAAAATGGAACACAGAAAAATAATTTTGCTAGGTTTTAGAATAAAACTTTCCATGCATTTATATAATATAAATTATATTGTGATAATTTAATTTCAGTCCTAGCACTACCATATACTGAAAAGCAATGGTTCTGCTAGAAAACACAAGGCTTGAATCTTAAACAATTCTATTGCTGCAAATATGGTGAAAGGCAATATTGTATTAGGTAATTAGCAAATTAGATATTCCCAATATTGTATTCCATTGCAACATGAAATAAAATTTCCAATTCAGTTGATTACAGTACAGGTGGTACTCAGCATATAACAGTTTATTTAGTGACCATTCAAAATTATAACAGCATTGAAAATGCGTTATGACTAGTTTTCACACTTGGAACTGTTGCAGAATCTCCAAAGTCAGGTGATCAAAATTTAGGCCCTTGGCAACTGGCATGTATTTATGACAGTTGTACTGTCCTGGAGTCATGTGATTACTACTTGTAGCCTTTCAAACTAGCTTTGGCAAAGCAAAATTAAAGGGGGAAGCCAGATTTGCTTAATGACCGTAGGATTCACTTAGCAACTGCACTGATCTGCTGTACAGCTGTAACAAAAAAAGTGGTAAAATGAGTGCAACTCATTTAATAACTGCCTCACTTAGCAACAAAAATTTGGGGCTCAATTCTGGTTGTGCATTGAAACTACCTGTACTTGGAGCAGGTAAAAAGCATCACCTCATTTAAGACAAAATCTTAATACAATATCTTTGGTGGCTCTATTTAATTCAGTTAAAACCTGCATGTGAAATTGAGCTCCTATGGCTGAAAAAAAAACCAAGCAGTCTTCAACTTATGATTCCAATTGGGATCAGAATTTCTAAGCAAGGTGGCTGTTAAGTGAGTTGTGCCCAATTTAATGACCTTTTTTGCCACAGTTGTTAAGCAAATCACTGCAGTTGTTAAGTGAATCACACAGTTGTTAAGTGAATCCAGCTTCCCCCATTGACTTTGCTTATCAGAAGTGGGCTGAGGAAGTTGCAATAGGTGATCCTATGATCCTGGGACCCTGCAATCATTGTGGATACACGCATTCAAATTCCATTCCAAAGCGACAGTAGTAAGGTGACCAACTTTTTTACAACAAAAAGGAGGACACGAATAAATTGAAGAAAAAAATATCGTAAATAAAAGAAACATTGTATTTATTGCAATAATAATACAGAATACACTATAATATGATCAATGCATAATAAAAACATTTGTAACAATAACATTTTATATTGTAATTATGCTTACATGCCTATTAAGTATTTAAATGAGTACTTTTCCATTGAATGAATATTTTTTGTCAATGTATCATCTTCTAACAATATATTGGAAATATCTGAACAAGAAATATCCTTCATATTGAATTTTACGGCAAGTGCTGCAGCTAGAGTATCAACATTCAATCTCGATTTCTCACTTGTCCAAAAATTTACACGGCTGGACTGCGCGGGGGTGGGTGGAGAGGCAGGTGTTGTGAGCCAGGCGCTCCAGGATGGCCACGTAGATATGCAGGATGAGCTGGTGGCAGCGCAGGTCAGCACTGCATAGACCACCAGCTGGCACGCCCCATGGAAGGTCAACTGCCCGCCGTGCCCCTGCCCACAGCCGCCCTGCCAGCACCGCTGCCTGCCGTGGAGAGCCGGCCCTGCGGCTCGCAAAGCACCAACCGAGCCAGCTCCAGCCCTGAGCCGCCCCCCCAGCACCACCGCCCACCCTGCGCATCCCCGTAGAGCTAGCCCCACGGCTCGCAAAGGCAAAGCACAAGCTGCGCCAGCTCCGGCCCTGCAGCCACCCCCCCAGCTGCCCCCCAGCACCACCGCCCACCCTGTGCAGCCCCGTAGAGCCGGCCCCACAGCTCACAAAGGCAAACCACCAGCTGCCCTGGCTCCGGCCCTGCAGCTGTCCCCCCAGCCGCCCTCCAGCACCACTGCCCACCCTGCGCATCCCCATAGAGCTGACCCCGTGGCTCGCAAAGCACCAGCCGCACTGGCTCCGGCCCTGCAGCCACCCCCCAGCACCACCGCCTACCCTGTGCATCCCCGTGTAGAACCGAACAAGGAAGATCAAGAGAAACTTACCGCTCCAGTCTCCTCCAGTTATCTGTGGAACTAAGTAAGAGATGGTGTAGTTGGGTAGCAGTGAGGGGTGCAAAGTTCCTGCAACTTGCATGTGCAAAGTTTGCCGCCTGGGTATTTTGGCGCGCTCAGCAGCAATTCCTATTGGCTTTCGAAAGCCAATAGGGGGAGTAGCACAGCTCAGGCAAAAGTTGAAAAAAACCATCAAAAAAAGATCCCGGAATGCCTTCTGGGCGTTTTATGAGGGAAAAAAAGCCCTGCAGATTAGTCTTCAAATATAGAAAAAGAGGACATTTAGGAGGACATTTTCGAGGGAGGACAGAACTCCCAAAAGGAGGACGGTATATGGAAAAGGAGGACATTTAGGAGGACACTTTTTGAGGGAGGACAGAACTCGAAAAAGGAGGACTGTCCTCCCAAAAGGAGGGCGGTTGGTCACCTTACAGTAGGGATGCTGTGAGGACTGAATGTAAGTCACTTTTTTTTAGTGTCACTGTAGCTTTGAGCAACCACTCAACAATGGTTCTAAGTCAAGGGCCAACTCTAGTGGCTGGGTTCATAAGTCATATTAGGCCATGGTTTATTTAGTTTTGGTTTATTTCATGTTTACTTGCCATAATCAAAAGATAACTGGTGCGTTCAGTAAAAAATAATCATAAAAAATCACAAAAGTTAAAAGTATTAAATAGGAATCTTAAAACAATCACCAAAGCAATTAACAAGATGGCAACATACTAAGAATCAAATGCCTTCTTGTCATAAGTAATTTTTCTGAAGCCTAGTAAGGCAAGTGCTGATCAAATATCACACATCATAATATTTGTCCTGTAATGGAACACCAACCTATGTAGGCCTTCGTTCACCATTTTTCATAGAAGTTGGGAATTGCTACTAGATTCTTCCATAAGCTCTGCATTGGACAAATTGAAATTGAACAGAGAAGGCTCCAGAGATATCTTGGAACCAGGTCATGTAGGGGCTAAGGTTAAAAATTGCATTTGAATTGCCCATAGAAGCTGGTAGGAAACAAGGCCTATTCAAAGCCTGAAGCATAGATGTGAACTTTTGATAGCAACCATCTGCCAACAACTGAGCCACCATTCTGGTTTAATGGTGTCCTAATGTCCATTTGGTTTTCAGAGGTAGACCCATGTAGCGTACACTACTGTACTTTAGCAGTTTGTTGAACTAACTACAGGTGTCCTCAACTTGCAACAGTTCATTTAGTGACCGTTCAAAGGTACAGTGGCACTAAATAAACTGTCTTATTTTTCATAGTTACAATCTTTGCAGCATCCCCACAGTCATGTGATCAAAATTCAGCTGCTTGGCAACTGACTCATATTTCTGACGGTTGCAGTGTCCCAGGGTCATGTGATCACTTTTTGTGATCTTCTAACATGCAAAATCAATGGGGAAGCAGATTCATTTAACAATTGTGTTACTAACTTAACAATTTAAATGATTTACTTAACTGTGGCAAGAAATGTCATAAAATGGGGTAAAACTCACTTAACAAATGTTTCACTTAATGATAGAAATGGGGGCTCAATTGTGGTTGTAAGTTGAGGACTACATGTATAATTGTTGTATTCATATAACAATCGTTACATTGTATTTAAGAGTACTATCAATTTCATTCTGAAGCCAAACTTCCCTCCATGGCTGAAACTTTATTTCTCTGGCTTTCTTACAAAATATAACATTCTTAAAGGCGATTTTGATAAATCTGATATAAATAATTACAGTGTCTGAAAGCTCTATGTTCTGACAAACTCTGCAAGACCTATTTCCTTAGAAATGAGTGGACATCTAATTCACTCCTTTACTGACTAATATTCAGAGTGCAAGACAATACTTGGTTTTAGTAAAGTTTAAATGCTTATAGTATGCATTCAAGGATATTATACAGTACAAAAGAAGTTTTCCCTCACTTTTGCTTAGGTTGGGTCAAAAGCAGCACCCCACCTCTTGTGTACTTCTGTGCATTCTCCCCAATCATCATGTTACCTCTTGCAGACCCCTGAGCACCTTCTGAATCCATGCTATACCCCCATGGGCAATCCCTAGCCATTCAAATCAATCCAGAAGCAAATTTGTTTACTCTGGATTAGTCAACCAATAATTGCAAGAAAATATTAGAGGAAAAACGAACGTATTCTATAGTTGTAACCAGCACAGGTTTTAAAAACGTGGCTTTTCACATAATGTGTCCAAAGAAGAATAATTTTAGCCTGGTCTTTTGTGCATCAAATGAGAACTTTGGGTTGATTTGTTTAGTGATCCATCAATTTAGTTCCTTGGCTATCCTCAGTATTTTCAAGAGTCTTACCAACACAAAGTTCAAATACCGTATGTTAATATTCCTATCCTGCTTATTTCACTTCTACAGCATGTCACAAAGAATGCCATGGCTTGCTTGACTCTGGTTTTTGTGGGTAGAGTCACATCCTGGCATTTGAGTGCCTTTTCCAAGGTCTTCCTGACTGCTCTACCAAATACTCATCTGTAGCATTTCTTGGCTGTTTGTTCCTTCACTATTGATGGTTAATCTGAAAAGTTAATTATTATTATTACTTTGTCTGTTCTTTTCAGAGAGATGTGTGTAATGTTTATATACAACCCAATATGAAAAAATGTATTGCATAAAAATATATGGCATTATAGATAAGGAACAAAAATGCAAAATGGTCATAACATGAATTTACACATGTGATATATAACAAGTGATGGTTAGTTCTGAAACCATTTAAGATATATTACAATAGAACTGAAGCAAGTCCTGTGTGTATTTCTACCTGCAATATATGTAATCTTTCTGTTGCAGGTATTTCTTCTGCATTAAACATGACAATTCCCTCATACACAGTCAATGGCATTGAAGGACAGCCACTTAGACTTGAGGTTGCTTATAATTTCAACTTCGCCTTTTCTGACATCCAGATAATATGGCTCTTTGAAAAACCACCAACAAACCCTAAATATCTGCTTACTTCTGTCAATCGATCGGTTGTTCCAGACTTAGAATATAGACACAAATTTACACTTTCACCTCCAAATGCATCTTTGCTGATAAATTCTTTACATAGAAGTGATGAAGGAAATTATATTGTAAAAATCAATATCCATGGCAATGGGACAAAATCAGCAATTGAGAAGATTCAGGTTACTGTTAATGGTAAGTAACTTAAAATGCCGGAGTATATTTCTATTCACCAATATTTACCATATGGGCTGTGACTAGGGAATTAGAGTTCAGCGGCATATCCAAAGGTCATAAGTTCACCATTTCTTGTTTATCTGCGATATTTTCTGGGTTTTCTTTTCCCCAAAGCCACAATTTGTCCTGCTGAACATTCAGTGCAGTGAAGTAATGCTATTTAGAGAACTTCCTGGCAATAGAGAATAATGGATAATCAAAATCCAGCATTATTGCAGGAAAGGCACAAGCTTTAGCATATATTCTGCAAATTCTTAAAAATTAAAATATATTACATAAGATGACATTCGTAGTTATGTGACATACTGTTGTCTATTACACATCAGGATATTTTGGAATATTTACTTATATTGTTCTAATGCATGTGCAAATTAATGCATGTGCAAATTAAAATCCAATGGCAATTATAACTATATTCTAAAAGATGTGGTGAAGAATCTAGAGCAATTTTCTCCAAACTGACACCACCTGGTATGTTGAAACTAAAATTTCCAGGATTCTCAGTGTAATATAATGAAAGCTCTAGATAAGATATATACAGATTGAGTCCTATAATGCATCCCAAACTGACTGACTTACAAACTGACTTACGATGTTGATTCTCTTTATAGAGTACATTTGGGATTAAAAAGACAATTTGTTCTTTTAAGAAAGTTTTTGGATTGAGGGCCTACCTTTTGCAGAGGTCCCAAATACAAGTAGTGACAGTTCTTACCATCTTCTACTAGTGGAAATGTAGACTCCAAAATTATCTAGACTGCTGTATGTAAATAACAGAAATGACTTGATCATAACTCCCAATATTGTTTCCATTGCAGTGCCTGTCACTAAGCCTGTCATATACATGGAACCCTCATTTGGAGTTGTAGAAAAAAAAGGAAACATCACTTTGAAATGTGTGGTGGAAGAAGGCACAAGGGTGGTTTACCAATGGATGAAAAATGAAAATCCAATTGAAGACAGCAGCAATGGCTCCATGACTATAAACAAAGATACACTTTCCATTGCCCCCGTTCTTAAAGAAGCTATTGGGAATTACAGCTGTTTAGTAACCAACCCTATCAGTGCCATGATGAGTGATATGATCACACCAACAATATATTGTAAGTAGATGAAATGTGTCTAATCTCTTTGATTTGGGTGAATTTGCAAAATAACAGTGTTATTTAGTTTGGAAATGAAATGAAATGTCTGCAGATATTCCCTTCTAATAGTAGGTATTAGTTGATTTGAGAGAAGAACTCATTACAATATCTTTAGTGATAGTGTATATAGTGATGGTAAGGAATAGTAAAGAAAAAATTATTCAACATTTTCCTGAACTTCAATGTAGGTCTTTTAAAGTATTGTATTATGTTTAAGAGTTATACAACGGTTTTTTTCTGGGGAGGGGGAATTTACAGAATTTTCTTTTGATTTTTATTTATCTGAGTGCTGTGAATTGAGAGGCCAGGATCTTAAATTTAACCTAGTTAAACTTTTACATATCCAAAGTTTTAATTGGCCAATGCCTGAAAGATGGACAACTTTGAATACTGTGTATCCCACTTTGAATTCCATGATTGTATATGGAATTAAAATAGCATATTATTTTTTACTTAAACCATAGTCTCCATCCTCAGTATCCATGGTAGAGAAGTCCGAAAATGGACAAGAAAATCTGAAACCTGTTCTTGGAAAGCTTGTTGTACAAAGCTGTCAGACTCTTAAAAGCCTTTCCAGCAACAATTTATAATACATGTTATAAATTATAGTGAAGAGTACTACAAGAGCAGAAAAATCTTTTTCAAATTAAGAATCTGATGAAGAGCTGGAAAGTCATAAAATGTCTCTTATCCAATTATCATACTTCTTTGGCTGTTCCTGATGATAGGAGGAAAAAGCCATCTGTGAAGGCTGATGGAAGAAAGAGGAGAGACAGAAATTTCTAACACTGTATTGATTCCTGTATTAAGGCCCACTCTCGGGACTCTTACTGCTGTTTTGTGTAATTTTTCAGAAGTGGTTTCTGTTTTGCTTCATGGTAGTATATTAGAGAAAAAAATCCAAATCCCTAATGGGCTCTAGACTATATTTTAGACAAGCAAGAACATTAAATCCTAAAGTCCATGTCATTATCATTTTTAATTTCTGTGCAAAATCAATATAGGACACTGGATATGTTTGCTTAAGCTGACACCTGTGAAACCATATACAATTGAAAATGACATGATTATGGCACCTGCTCTTGTTATCCTATTATTATTTTGAAATGTTATATCATCTTATTCAGATCATTTCAAGATGTTTTGTGTTAGAAAAATATTTGTATAGAATGCAATATAAAATGCAACATAAAATTGTAGCACAAAATATTTAAGACAGCAAGCATTAAGAAGTGTATAATAAAAATAACCATGCATTAGCTACGTCCAGTATGTTGGAGGCAGACAGGATTTGATGGGTAGAGGGGAAAAAGGCTTACAAAAATGCCTTTACCAAGCTGTAAACCAACTGATTCACTTGATCCTCTCTTGAAAGAAGGTTCAAACAAATGCTTCCAACATCTTTGTTGACTCTAAAAATGTTTGAAGCATACTAAAGCAACACAACAAAAAGTGAATTGAATTTAGTCAAACAGAGAAGATGGAGAGGAAATTAGGAAAGTTTTTTTTTTAAAAATGAATGTTAAAAAGCTATCATGCATAGAGTAGATATGAGTTCAAATAGGAAGGTTTCACTTGAAAACAGATAAACCCAATCAATTTCATGGAGTATGCCAGGTTTTTTTTCTTCCTATTTCTCATACTCCTTCCCTCTATGAGCCATATGTATTGCTGGACTTAAATTATTTGCTGTCGGGATGCTAACTAGCATAGCTTTCAATAGAAGCCACAATGACAGCATGTATATTTTATTAAATTGATATGTTTCCCACATCAAGTGACTCTGGTTGGCTTACAAGGCCATATCATGATTATGTAATGTGATTTATATAATCTGCACAATGATATTATGGGCATGTGATGTCATTTGCTCCTTCTTTGGTTGCCTATGCTAGTTAACCTAATGGGACCGACTGCTCAGTAATTTCCAGACAGCTACATATTGTTCATTGATTAAAATCTGTATCACTGATTCACCATGAGGTTGCCTGCGACTTGTAATAACTTTTTAGCGACCCTTACTTTTTTCTTGCTTTCCTTCCTTTAGCCACTTTTCTAGTTATTAGTATTTATGTCTAGTGGAATCACGTCCGGGTTATAGCATTAAATTATAAATTTCAAGCTGTTATTCAACAATGACCATTTTCTGCCTTATAGCCATCTCTACAAACTGGTGCTTTCCAAATGTGTTGGGATTAATCTCTAGGGCAGTGGTTCTCAACCTGTGGGTCGGGCCCCATTTGGGGTCGAACGACCATTTCACAGGGGTTGCCAAACAAGGCTGTCCGCCATTTTTTTCCCCTTTTCTTTGGCCACACCCCTGGCACCCGGTGAGGTATAAGTGGTTGGGGGGTCACCACAACATGGGGAACTGTATTATGGGGTCGTGGCATTAGAAAGGTTGAGAACCACTGCTCTAGAGATTTTCATCTGTTGGTCATATTAGGAACTATGTGAGAATCTGCTTGAGGAAAGCTGTAGCAGCCTATAAAGAAAACAAAGCATATATAATGCCTCTACAATTGATAAAAATGTGACCAACCCCTTTTTCTGCTGCTGAGCTCTGATTGAACTGCAGACTCCAGCAACAACAATGGCAGCTAGCTAAAAGTTGCCATTTCAATGTCCCATGGAGTTTCAGAGTGACTAACATTAGAAGCATTGTAGGGAATTTCTCAATTAAGGTTCAAAACTTACTATTCTTGAGCAATTCAGTCTTGAGTAATTCACAACCACCAAAGAGGAAATGGTCTCCACCAAAATTGGCAAGCAAGCTACAATATATGAACAGTTAGCAAACCCCACATTCATTTGCACTGGTGATATTACCTAGTTGGGTAATGAAATGTCTGCAAGCAGCCAACTAGCTCAGAGACCGTCAGCTCCGTGAACTCCACTGTTCAATCCTGAGCTATAGATATTTTCCATTGAGTTCTATCTTATTCTAAGGTAATTGCGAAGCTGTCATTCTACTGTGAATTCAGGAAGGAAATAATGAATAAAAGTACAGGTAATCATCAACTTACAACCACAATTGAGCCCAAAATTTCTCTTGCTAAGTGAGTTTTGCTCCATTTTATAACTTTTCTTGTCACAGTTGTTAAATGAATCATTGCAGTTCTTAAGTTAGTAACAAGATTGTTAAATATGGTAATCTGGCTTCCCCTTTGACTTTGCTTGTCGGAAGTTCATAAAAAGTGATCACATGACCCCCAGGACATTGCAACCATAATAAATATGAGTCAATTGCCAAGCATCTGAATTTTGATCACATGACTATGAAGGTGCTGCAATGGTTGTGTGAAAAACTGTCATAAGTCACTTTTTTCAGTGACTTTTTTTCAGACCACTTAACTTCGAATGGTCACTAAATGAATTGTTGTAAGTTGAGGAATACCTGTATAACAAATCCATAAACAAATATATTTGAATATTATGGGAGTTAGGCAGCATAACCATCTTACCTACACTTGTCTTTTTACCTGTGGCAAGTAGTTGAGATGGAGGGAGAGTGTATAGTAGAGTATGAATTATTATTTAGCACTGGTAATGTTAAATATACTACCATAGATATAAATGTGAAAGTCAGACCATGGTGCACTTCCAGCACCTTGTAACACAGAACCACATACATAGATGTTTTCTTTTTTACATTGTACAGTCTTTTATTCAGGATACCTTGTTTTTTCAGATGTATTAGTATAATTGCTTGCAGAATTCCTAGTGTTCTTATTAGACTGGGAAGACTCAGTCAGCTCATTTCCTGCACAGTTTTGAACAATCACAAATTAAGAGAGCCAGTTTGTTCTAGTGATTCAGACAATCAGGCTAGAAAGTGGGAGATCATGAGTTCGAATCCCATTTTAGCCATAAAAGCCAGCTGGGTGACCTCGGGCCAGTTAGTCTCATTAATTCACCTCAAAAGGTTGTTATTGTTATAGGGAAAATAGGAGGAAGCTGCGTTGGACATGGTCACCACCTTGAATTATTTGTAAAAATAATAAAGGCAGGGAAAGGGAGGAAGAGGAAAGAAGGAAGGATAGAAAGAGAGAGAGAGAGAAAGGAAAGAAAGAAAGAAAGAAAGAAAGAAAGAAAGAAAGAAAGAAAGAAAGAAAGAAAGAAAGAAAGAAAGAAAGAAAGAAAGAGAAAGATTATTCCCTGAAAAGCTGCTTGAGTTGCCCCATCTAGTGACATGGCTAGAGCACTACACTACTGCTACAAACATGCACAAATAGAGGGCATTTTTCAATACAGTTGAAGAGTAATATTAAAAATCTAAGTAACATTAATACAGAATTTAATTCATGATAGCTGATTTTATGTATCATGTTTACCCTTTACTTACTAAACCATGATTCATTGAATAGACTTAGGGGCAGGCTGGGCTTATATAATGGTACTTAAGCTTATCCTCTGTCCCTAAGACGAACAAGAGAAAACTCATTGTGTAAGCTAGGCTTTCTTTCAAACAAGATTAATTAAACCATAATAAATTAATTTGTATGTATAATATTGCAGTGGTAAGTTTGTTTGATTTGTGTGCCCCCATCTCATCATGAGATGATTCTGGGTAGCTTACAAACATTAAAAACAGTAAACATTAAAAGGATAAAACAATAATTAACAATGATAATGATATAGTATGATATAATATAATGGATGGATTCCCAAAGAAACCCAAGCAAATGAATTTATGGCATGGGGGACTCTGTGGATTGATTCCTGTTAATATTTAAACAAATATTAAACAAAATATTGTTTCTTTTTACACAAGAGGATTTGCATGAAACTTCAAGAACTTATAAGCCATCAAGTCTCCCCCCCCCCCCAAATGACAGAGAAGCCCAATATCCACCATGACGTCCTCCATTAAATATTGCTTTCAAGTTACATAATTTAAAGTACACTTGTAAGTGGTATTTTAAAATTCTATCTACTGGCTGCCAATTTTCTCAATAACAACCAAGTAATGGCTCTACAAGCTACAAAGACCATATGCCATTGTTGCCTGGGGAATTAGAGTAATAATAAAGGTCACTCATGGTAAATACCATCTGTTCAAAAACAAGATGGATTACAGTTTCCTGGTGACAGATACAATTGCTTATGTTCCCCCTGAGAAGTAAATTGTTGCTAAGAAGTGATGATTTATTGTTTTACAAGTCATTTAGTAAATAGGTTTTACTGAGGTAAAAGGTCTTGGCTCAGAATGATATCAAAAAAGAAGTAGTGGCCTACTAGAAGCCTTTATTTAAAAATAGTCTTAACACCTCAAATGTATTTTATTTAAACACGTAAAAGATTATTTTGGAAAGAATTTCCCACGAGGACCATTCACATACCATTAACCCTCTAGTAACTTCCATCTTTTTGGAGACTTCACAGAGATACAAAGCTTGTTACCATGTAACATTTCTGCTGCATCAGCATAAAAATAGTTGGATGATTCCATAAGACAAAAGTCACTAATGGAAATCCTGCCGCACTCCATTTTTTATTTGTATAAAAATTGCAAAACTAGTTTAATAGATACCTAATTTATACTGAATTAGTGCAGAACAAAATGAGCAAGGTTGTGATCTTTTCAATTGTATCTTTTCTTCCAAAATCCCTTTTGTGTACTATTGTATTTAATCTGCACTACCACAAGTTCTTCAAGGCAATCAGGAAAGGGGGGGGGAATTAAGTACACGTTTGAGCAAGTTACTAGCTAATTTTACAAGCAGAATAGATAGTGATTCTATATTGCCTCAGGATCAGATCCAGAAAATGACATCCTTAGGGAGACATCAAGGCTCCAGTTCCTAAACAAAACCCACAACTGATAGAGGGCTCTAATATTTTGTGTCTCTACTCCAACCTAATTATTTTGACTGGCAATACATGTAGTGGCAAGTAAATGGATTTAATAACAATTTTATTGTAAAATGGTATCTCTGACCATGCACTGTCAGAGAGTATTATGGGAATTTACATTTGATTAAACTCAGCCTGCATAATTGGATCGCTATCAACACAACAAAATCCCAGTTTGTGCCAGAGTAGCCAACCATAGAACTAGAGCTTTGGGTTCCTTTAGGAAGAAATATGATAAAGTCTCAACTGCATTAAATTCCCACACAGTGCAGTGATCCCATATTCCAAAATAAATTTCCCAATATTATAGGAGGTATAGTGCAACCAATATCAAAAGACTATGTAGAATGCTTTAATGGAACACATATTATTCCAAGCCTCATATTTAGATACATAAACATGGTCCAAATACATTTGTGAAAGCCTGTGAACCTGGGCATCAGTATGTGAGCCACAAATACTGTCTTATCATGTTTTGTTTTATTGATGTAGAATTGCACCCCTTATCACAATGTGAAACTACAGTGATGGAAACCATAAAGTTACAATACTTCACAAGAGAATAAATATCCTTTTGTCATGACAGATGTTAGATATAAAGTAACCAAAAGATAATCCTGAGAAAAGGAAGCGGAAAGGTCCTCAGTGGCAATCAGAAGAGACTATAATTATGTATTGTTATCATATTTCTGTTGCAATCAAAGTTAAATCGTATCAAAAGCGCTTCAAATTTAGCCGTGAGCAAACTACACTATACTTGGTGCTCTTTAGCAGTGCCAGAGAGTTATTATAAAGAACAGAAATTGGGAAAAAACTAAAATGAAAAAAGGGGAAGAAGTTTTTTTTTTTAATGGCATAGTAGAGCAAATCCTACTCCACTTCTTCCTTCAAGCTGATCTTGTGACAATATCATTTACTGCATGCTGTTCTCAAATTAATGATTTTCAATATGTATTTATAGCACTTCCCCCATATTTGTACCAGTATTTATAAGCCTCGTTGCTTCCTGGTTTTTCTGGTTCTGCGTGTCCTTAATTCTGTGCTAAGCAATTACACGGTTTGTTTAGTTTTATGTTAGCACAGTGTATAAAACTAAATTTTGTAATTTGTAAATTGGAATTTGGGGCTTAGTATATTGTACACTACACTACTATACGATCTAAACAATTGTATTTTTAATGCATTTGATTTTTAAAAAGTGTAGTGTATCATGTGGACCCAATCTATAGCTTCTTGAGCAAACCTTAGTTAAAATAAACTCTGATTTATCACAAATGGAAATAATACAACATTAGTCAATCATTCTCTGGTTTCCTGAACATACATAAACTCATACATATGCTTGCTTTTTTTACTAGGTAATGGTTTTCACAAACATTAAATTATACTTGCTTATAGTTTTGTGAATTCAAACTGTGGTTTGTAAAATCTGAACATCTTACCCATCTGGCATCTTCTCTACATGCCAGAAGTACTACTCCTAAAATACTTTGTCAGACTTCTTGAGAATTCTAGAAATTGTGATCTCAACATAGAGAGAGAATATCATATTGAGGAAAGCTTATGTCAAAATCTTACATGAAATCCAGACAACTGAAGAAACCATGTTTAGCAAATCATGGCTTTTCCTATCCCATGGGCCCAAGCATAGCCTTCTATCAAGGTTCTAAGTGATCAGGTGAAGAATGCTTATGCAGAGGTGGACACGGTATTATCAAGAAACAAAGACTTATACCAAAAACAACCATAGGTTTCTAGGTTTAGTGGCTGAAACTGACATTAATTAAGCAAAAGAAGGGTATTTCTTGACTAGCAAAGAGGCTGTGATGCTAGAAGTACCTGCCAGGTAGTTAGTGGATTAAAAAGATCCCACCTCCACCTCATTGATATAATGGTTCCTAGCTTACCCAATTTTTGTTAATTTTAATGTTTAATGTTTTTATATTTTGTTTTTATGATGCTGTAAGCTGCCCACTGTTCTTTGAAAGTGAAATGGGTGGCTTATAAATTTAATGAATAAATGCTAACATCTCTGATAAGCCTGATGTAATAAAAATACTTATGCTAATTGCAAGAGAAAACACTGCATATGTCTTTCTCTTTCTGTATTTCAATAGTGTTCTGAATCTGAGTGTGTGGATTCCTTCATCCAACAGTGTAGTAATGGACAAGAAAAGACATTATTTGCAGGAGGCTGGGGATGGGTTAAAGTTAACCTTAGTAAGCAGTTAGTGGGAGTATGTTTGCAATGGATTAAGCAGAATATATGTAAGTCCCATCTGTTGAATCTGTTTTCTTTCTCTCTGTGTCACTGTGATGTTTATGAAGATGGACCCTATGGACTTACCATAAATAATGCCAAAGGCCAGAAAGTAGGGAAAGTGTTTATGCTTGATAAAGGTGATGCTGTTCAGCTGTACTGCTCAGCAGATTCCAATCCACCAAATATTTATTCATGGATCCTGAAGGCAAACAACTCCATACATCCAGTACAATATGGAGAATTTCTAGAAATTGCATCTGAGGAGGTGACACAGAGAACAGAATACATATGCACTGCTTATAACAACATGACTGAAACCCATGTTGAAACCCACATCCTGGTGATAGTAATACCAAAAGGTAAGAATGAATGAATGACAGGTATACAATAGATATAAGTTTACAGTATAGAGAATATCAATTTGGGAAAGGCTGCTCTATGAGATGTATTGCATCTGCAAAGGAACATTCTGATCCTAAATGATCCCTTATCCTTGGATGTGTTAAGACATTCTCCTAGGAATGGAAGCTAAACAACTTAACAAGCATTTCTTGCATGTCCCACATCTCATTATTATTTTATGCATTGCAGTATGGTTTCATATTGTTCTTTAACATCACACTATATAATGTAGTTATTTGATGATATTTGTGCCAGCATATCAAGATTTAAGATTTATCTATTTGTATTTCAGAAGTTCAAAATGGATCAACAATAATAAATCAACTGTATATTGCTTTATGATATATTATATTGAGTAGTTCAAAACCTACAAACCTCCATTGTTTGATCCAGACTGCTGTCAGTCTCAGTATTGCCAATAATTAAAATTGATAATTTCTAAATGGTCAGAGATTGCCTACCCTTTGTTTAGGCTCATCTAATGGAAGAAGACAACTGCATCTAAAAGAAAGAAATAGACTAGGTCCCTCCCAAAACAGCATTTGATTTCATTTTAAGTTATATTTATGAAATATAAATCATATGATTGCTTTTAACTATTTTTTAAATGATTGCAATTTTTAAAAATCTCTAATGGCCCCATCCAAGACTTTGGGGATTTGAAGGTAAGCCGAGGGCATCTACAGATTCTATTGTCTTTCCCCCTCCCCCTGCTCCTCACCCCAGGTTTAAATAGACCGAACAATCTTTCTTCCTTCTCCTTCTCTCAGTCTCTTCAGTAAACCTTGGTAGAATTGATTCATCATCTTATCCCAGTACTGTGGCATAAACATAGCTTGTTAACCATTTTTTAAGCAGGGTGTCCTCATTATCTTCGTCTGATTTCATACCATTGCAGAAGCAACCTTTAGTCTGTCTTAAGTTCTTTTGATAATAAAGTTCCAGTCCTGAAGTGTTTTGTTAATTAGCATGATGCCTTACAGTACATTTCCCAAGCTTATTTGTCTCCTGCACCACAAAATTCTGTGCCATTTATGAATAGTAGCTGCCTATTGTATAGAGGGATTTAGGGTAATAGTACATAAAAAAAATTCTTTCAAATATGTTAAAAGAACAACAGGTTAGAACTATATAGTGAAACCAATATTAGGCTGAACCAGACAGACAAACAGACAAATTGGTGTTTCAGAGTAAAAACAAAGTGACTAAAAATAGTTTGGCATTGGTAGAACATTTAGCATTTTTAAACAAAAATCTTTACCATTAGGCAGACTGACTTATCAGAAAAGGAAGCATATTGTTTGTTAGTTATTACATATGAAATGTTACTTTGCTATATGATTAGGAGATAGAACAGGGATCTTCAAACTTGGCCCTTTTATGACTTGTAGACTTCAACTGCCAGAATTCCTCAGCCAGGCATTCTGGGAGTTGAAGTCCACAAGTCATAAAAGGGCTAAGTTTGAAGACCCCTGAGATACAGGAACCAGTATTTTCTGTGGTATGAAGGACTCAGGAAAAAAAAATGGATCCTGGATTTAACTGGCAAGAGTGATCCTTGGTACTTTCCTTCTTTCTTTCAAGAAAACAACCAAGTTCAGAGAGCATCAAGGACCCCTCATTTCAACCCAGAGCTATAAATATTCTCCTTTATTCGCAAGCAAGGTCTTATAAGAGAAGCTGACTGTATTAAAAACTGCTACACTCCATACAGCATTCCCCCCCCTCCTTTTCAACATCTACATGGAACTGCTGAGAAATTAGTCCTAGTTTGATACACTCCATATCTTGTCCCTTTAAAAACAACTATCTCCGTTTACTTGTTCCTTCTCAATACAGAGAAAAAAAGTGAAATCAGCATCCCTTCTCTTTCTGAAGCGTTTTCTCCTCCAGACTGACACCTATTTATAAAGGGTAAGGGATCAGTAATTTTTTCCTTCATGCCATAAAGCAAGACGGGAAGTATTAAATAAAAATTTGTCAAGAGACATGAATTAAACACTTGTCTGGTGACACCTGAAGTGATAAATTATTATTTTTCTTTCTCATTCAAATAGATTAGCTGGGTTTGTTAATCTGGCATCTATACTAAATGTTTTTTCCTCTCAATTCTATTCAATTATTATGAAAATAATATCTCTAAACAAATTGCCTATTCATTTTGGAAGCTTCTGTAGAATTGTGAAAAGTTTCTGAACATGATTAGCAGAACCAAAACTGGAAGCACTGGACTTTATCTCTAGCACACAGATGCCTTATCAGTGAAATAAGCAAATTTGTGAAACCATGGTTACATCTTATCTTTTTCATATTTACATTTACTAAATTAGGGGATTAAATATATTTAACTAAAGATAGGCATTTTAGGAGACAAATATAATTTATCCTGGCACCAGGCAAAATGTTCACCATGAAGAAAATATATACATAAGAGGCACCACAAATTAACTTTTAGATATATAAACACACAAAAAAAATCAGTCGCTCTATTATGAACGCACTTTTACCATGTTGTTACCAGATATATCTATTCTTCTCCAGGAAAAACTAAATCCATCAGGGAGACAGTAGAATATGATTATTCATCAGCTACATCAGTATTGTTTTCTTTTCCTCTTTAAGCAATTTTATAGTATTTTGTTTTTTAAAAAATTGCTGTATCAACCTTAAACTAAACCTGCTAGGTTCATGGAAAAAGCCATGGTTTATTTAATAAGTGGCAAGGCTCATAACATTATGGTAGGCTATGATTCATAAATCACAATAGTAATGACCCAAGTGTGTGTAATATAGGAATAAGATACTGGATTAGAAAACCTGAGTTGGAAATTCCTTTCAGCCATGAAATCCACTGGATAATTTTAAGACAATTTAATTTAATGAACATACCTGCTTCATATATCATGCTAAAACCATGTTTTACTTAAATATAATTTATTAACAAGCTGGATGCATTGATATATTCCACTAAACAATGAACCACAATAGGCAGTTTGTGCAAAATGTAGCCAAAACCCAGCTGTAGTTCTCTAGCATGGATAAAGTAAAAGAGGTTGAAGAACTATAAATATTTCCTTGATTTCCTTGAAGAATATAAGTTACAGTTAATAAATAAAGCCAATTTTATGTAATTAGTAAATTATAGTTAATTATAGTTTAATATGCAGCGTGAACCAGCATCGGAACCAAATCAAGTATAATGCAATTTCATTGACCCATCCTAGTGATGTACTGAACTGTATCCAGTTCTGTACAGATACAATGATTGTATTGAATGATTTACATTCTGGTTTCTATTAATAAATTTGGTCTCTGAATTTTGCATAGAATGGAGACTGGTTTTAGCTTTTGCAGACACATTTACAACAACTGAGACATTTAAAAAAATGCTTTTGGGTGCAGCAAACAGTGTCATGGTTCCAACAGATAAAATTCTTCAAAAGAACTTTGAGGCATTATTTACCTTAAAGAATCTTTTATTCGAGAAACATAGTATCGGCACTACATAGTTGAAACCAAAAACTAAATTCCCCTCTCCTTGGTACAATGTGACAAAGCACAATTCCTTCCTCCAATTAACAGTCATAAATCACATTCCCCGATTAGCTTGAAGCACAGGCTTTCTCCCCAGCTCTCCAGCCCACCAAAATTTTAACAACCCAGGGCCCAATGACCTTGGGTTCCCATGGCTAAGTTATTGTTATGACTAGCTAGACTCTCATCCACCTTCCCCCTTCCAGCATCAACTAACTCTAAAAGCAATAGAGGAAAATGGCTGCATTTCCATCTGTTGTCAAAGCAAGAACATCCGATGTTAGCAGTGTTGACACTGAGCTGATGCTGGAACTCAGGTACATATATTAAAACCTCTGGTGAATTCTATTTTGCTCTTCCACACTTGATTTAAAATTTAATTTAAAATTACTATGGGGATATTCTAAAGTTTAAAATTGGTTAGAACTATCCTTCCTATTTCCTGCCATTTATCTCTAGTGATCAATGAAGTATTTGCAATTAGTTTATAATTATTGAAACATTTAGTTTGTCTCAAGGAGGGTATTAACTACTGTTGGTTTTTGTTTTTATTTTGTCCCTTCAAATGTGCAGCAGTAGAAATACATAATTTCATGTTTCATGTCTTGTTTCATGTCTCAACGCTTTAACGTTGCTAAGGGAATGATTTCTGCAAAAATCTAGACATCTATTGGTAGAAATCTCTGATTTCTTTGCTGCTAAAGAAAGCTGTAATATTTTGGGAGAATGCAGGAATGGTAGTTGCAGCAAATAAAAAAGGAGCTTCTATAGCAAGATGGTCTTTGCACATTCTTTAGTCTTAAAGGCTTCAGGATTTTGTTTACTTGTCTCATTTATCCAAGTTTGTAGACTTGTAGACATTGCTAGCATTTGAGCTTAATTCAGAGAAAGAGCAACAAGGATTTCAATTTCCTTTTTTGATGTAGGAACCTTTTTTTTTTTCTCTAGCTCCTTTTCCTGCTGTTCTATTTTTGTTCCTAGTTTTCTGTTTGCCTCTCAAATCTAAAAAGAGACTTCCTGCAAGAGGAGATGGCAGCTGTAAACTGTGACAAGACAATATGCATTCTGGTTGGAACTTACATTTTGATTTATGATGCTATATGGAATTGGCCAGGATGGCTTTCGGAACAAACCTAGTTATGTTGTCAGGAATAAAAGTAGATTTTATAAACAATGTCACAACATGTTGAATAAGCAACCCAACATATTCATACATTAATATTTTCAACCTAAAATCATCTCTAGCTGCTGTTTTCCTAAATAGTAGTCTACATCAATGTTTCTTAACCTTAGCAATTTTAAGATACATGGACTTCAATTCCCATAAATCTCCAGCCAACCAGGAATTTTTGTACTGACTTGAGATCAAAAATTCCGTTATTAGGAAGACACATACCCCTTATCAGAGAAAAAAGCAAACCACATATGTGATCAGACTTATGTATTAAGTCTTATGGAGGTCTTTTATCATATTCTTCATGTGTAATCCTTTCTCCAGATATCTTGCATTATTTTCTTCATGGTCAAGCTATGGTTGCCTACTTAGGCTTCATCTATTTTTTTTAATAATGTTCCAGTACTTGTTTTTCCATTGCTATAGATTTTAAAAGGATTTTTTTTTTATGTTCTCCAAGTTGTTAGAAGTAGGGATGAAGTGTGAGCATCCCCTAATGGCCACCTTCAAGCACAGCAAATGCTGTTAATGAGTGACACAATAAATCCCCGTTAACAATTTCATCTGCAAAAATGAGGACAAATAACTTTTTGAAAATAACAATTTCAAATACCTAAACAAGGTAGATAAAGTGTTTTTCCTGTTCAAGAAGAAGGAGCAATTACATATTTTTTTGCATGTATGTTCTTTGTCGCCTCAGTGAAAGGGTAGAACAGAATACATCATTTTTTTTTGAAACCCAGAGGTAAGTAGTCATTTAAGGCAATATTTAGTGTAAGGCAATTCTTAGATGAGAGATGGCTGTAGAAAGAAACCACATACAGTACATTTCTCTCATGTCTTGCTATTCCTGTACAGTACTCAAAATATTTTTATTGATTATTTTTATTGATTATTCTCTTTCATTGGTACTTTATTGATTGGTCAGTTGATCATTATTAAAAACAATGGGCATGAGTTGCAACAAAATAGAATAAAATAAAATAAGATGAAGAAAGAAGAGTTAAAATATAACAAAATAAAATAAATAGTGTTAAGATAAAATAGAATACAGAAACATAAGTACTAATATATAAATCAGTACTTGTTTAGGTGAATGAACCCAGCTTTACATTGCAACCAATGTGCTCCATAAAATGTATTCAGTTAGTTGAACGGTCTCGACTAAAAGCAGTTCAAACGATAACATGCATTTTTGCTTTGAAGGAATTTAGATGATAGAGACCCAGTGGGTAGTTCTATTAACTAGTGTCTATGAATCTTGAAACCTGGGTGGGACAATACTCCTTACTGTTTCTCCTTCCCAATCTCACAGAGAATATTCTGAAATTAGCTGTGTAAACTCTTTTATCAGAATGTCAAGAATAAGCAGAGGACCCTGATAATTATTTGGTGTTCCCTCTAGCCAATCAATTGCCATTTAGTCAAAACCACAATATCTTAGTAGAATCTAAGGTAGCAGAACATTATAAAATAGGGATAAAAATAAACATAAGCAGATAATAGGAGAGCAAGCTACTGGCCAAATATTGTTCTTTTTGCGCATTGCTTTTTTCTTAAAAGCTCTAATGATGATATGATATAATTGTTTGCAATCAAGCATTTTCCTCAAGAGTTGCAACCATAGCTATAAATATACTGAACAGATAGTCATTGTTTAACAACTGTCTTATATATAATCACTCACAGCTGATAATATTGAAAAAGTAACTTTACAACCAATTCTCTCATTATGATCTTTGCATGTTTGCAATGCAAAAGAAAGCTAAACTAAGATTATAAACACAATCTCAGTTTCACTTACTCTAGCAGCCATTTTGTTGAACAACTGAATTGTTGGTCCCAGTTGTATTCATTCAGCAAGGACTACCTATAGAGCCTCTTTATGTGTATCTAATTAGGAAGAGAATAAGAGAGCTTAGGATCCAAAAATAAAGATGGAGCAAAAGTTCAGGGCACCTTATTTATATAACAGCATTTTTTAATTCTAAAACTGATTTGAAATGGAACATGAGAATTAAAATTTGATTCTCAGATAATATTCTTTCTGAAATCGATTAGGGAGTTCTGAGTTTATTTATGGTGACATAAGAACAAATACTTGGAAAAATTGCCTGATTTAAATTCCATGAAATTCAAAGCAGGCAAATTACAAAATGGAAGGTTTATAATTTGAACTACGCAGCAACCAAACAGAAGAAATTCACTTCTGCTGCCCAAGATGGATGATGATGTGGGAACAAAGTAATGGAGTCCTAATGCTGTATTGATACAAATGCCAAGTGTAAATGAACTCTTAGTTATTATTTGTTTTTCCCAGAATCAATTAATTAAATATCCCATTATGCTTGCTTTTATGAGAATGAAAGAAAAATGAATGAGAGAGAAAGAGAGAGAGAGGAAGGGAGAGTGTTAAATGTTGGTTACATAAATGTTGAGAAATTGTGCTGTGATTGACCAAAGAATGGAATAAAGAAAATTGACTTAATATTTTATAACCATTACTAAAACCAAAATAGCATCTGTATTAGGTATCAGTTGTCCCCAAAATATTGTCCCTTCATGTGCATATTCACAAAATATGTGAATTTGTTTTCACCATTGTAATATAATAGGCACCCATTTGGGTTCGTATATTTGGAGAACAGCTCCATCAGTGGTTGGTATTGGTTATTTTTACTAAGGATAATAGAACATGTAATCCAGCTATATCTGAATGTCAACATTGGGAGAAGATGCCATAGAAGCACCTTTAATCTATACCTAATCTAAATGCAGGGATTTATTAATATTCTGGTTTGTCTGAGCAACAAGAGATACTAATTTTAGATGTTCTGGGATCACTTAAATCAAATCTAAGCAGTTTTGTATCTGATGTTCTGATTTTTAAAAAAAAATTAAATGAATTTATGAATGTTATACTATATGCCTATTCAGAATTATTTCACAATTAACTATCAAAGGTTAATTTCTGTCCTTCTCTGTTATAGGACTGGAGCAGAAATGGAAATATTTGTCACCTCTAGCAATAATAACTGGAATTTCATTATTTTTGATAGTATCAATATGTATTTTTGCAATATGGAAACGATTTCAGCCACATAAAGGTATGTTAAATGAAAACCTATTACCTTCAAAGTTTCTATAAATTATACTTTTAAAAAACAATTTTTATTTTCTTTCTTTTTTTCAGTAATACAGCAGAAATTGAACAGGTAGAAAACTAAATTATTCTTTTTATATGAACTCTACATAAACTTTTATTTTTTAAAAAAAAAATCTGCTATATACTAATACTACATGAAATTTAAAATATTTCCATGTTTTAGAAAAGGCCCCAGGACTAAAGCACGTTACCGAAAAGGACAAACTGTTTCAGGTAATATAAGCATAAAATAGAAACATATCCATCATAAACTAGAAAGAGAGATATATATATAAACAGGCAGACAGACAGACAGATAGATGATAGACAGTTAGATAGAATGGGCTGTTGACCACTCTGCAATATAAGTGCTAGGGATGCCTGTCAAGTGACAAATTTTCTTATCTTTGTCTTTTATGGAGAAGGGCAGATGCATTTACTTTGGAACAAAGGTCTGGGTTATAGCTTTTCATATTTTTTTAATTAAAAAAAAACCCTTTTGGGACCAGAAATATGCTTGGAATTATGCTGGAGACTAGTTTTTTTGTTGTTGTTGTTTTTTCAGTATGCCTGATTCCTGTTTTTTAAATTAATATGTAAAAAGTCAAAACAGATGAGTCAGGCAACTTGGGGGATACCAAGGAAAGTAAGTGCAGAGACATGGATACAGACACATAAACACACATAAACCATTTCTTACAGATATGAGGGCAAAATTTGTGATGGTCAGACATTTTATTTTGAAATCTGAAATTATAACGCTTCTATGTACTTCATCTACTTTGGAATAAAATTAGTGTTTGAGGACAAATAAGGATGATTTTTTTTCACTTTTATATATTTACTTTGTGGGGAAAGTGTGAACTTCTTTTCTGAACTTCTGTTTTCTTTTAATGTTTTACTTGAAACATCATGTACATAACTGCCATTCTATTACCTCCATTCTCTTACTTGAATGTTCCAGCATTCAACTTTTTCTTAATATTTCATTGGAATTCAACTTGAAGTGTAATATAGTACAACTCATCATAATTCATATTTTTATTTAAACACTTATATTTTTAGGACATGAAAGTGCAACAAGAGATTTTGGAGTATACGAATTTATTACACTTCCAGATACTGCAGAAATCCCACCGGTAAGTGAGTGTATAATGAAATAGACATATTTGAAGAATCAGTACTATCTGTAAAACGGAATTATAAAATAATTTAAAGATTCCCCAGACTAGAATTCCTATAAATTCATGTTTTGAAAACTTATTTTAGTTTCCACTTGTACATTCAGTTCTTCCCCCTGGAAGATCGCAGGACTTAAAGTCCTCTTAAACTTGTAATGGTGCTGAAAGAGTGGTCCTTGAAGTTTCAACAGTTGCAGCATTCCCGTATTATATGATTATAATCCAAATGCTCAGCAATCAGCCTAGATTTCTGACTGTCATAGTTCCAGCTGGTCATATGATTGTGATTACAACCTTCCCTGTCAGCTTCCCACAAGCAAAGTGAATGTGGAACCGGCAAGACATTGGAAGTTATGGTCATGTGAAGCCCTTGCTTAACTTTGGTATCTGGGGACTGGTGGAACTGTTATCACTAGTGGGGTGGTCGTATGACATTATAGTTTATAATTGCACTTCTTAGCCATTGAAATTCCAGTCCCAATTACCACTGTTAAGGGAGGACTACCTGTATTCTCTGTACCTCTCCCAATTTATCTTCATATCAACAAATTTATTATGTATTTTAGGCTGGAAAAATGACAGACCTAAAACATCTCATTGAGATTCATGGGGTGTAAGAAGTAATTTCCCTTGTCCTAATCCAGCGTTTCTCAACGTTTGTGTGACGGCGACCCCCGTCACACGAATGTGCCGCGCATGCGCAGCGCCGCCCCCATGCGCAGCGCGCATGCGCGGCGCCACCCCCTGAGGGGGGAAATGGCGGATTGCATTGTTTGGCGACCCCCATAAAATGGTCGATCGACCCCAAATGGGGTCGCGACCCATAGGTTGAGAACCGCTGTCCTAATCCATCAGTTTTGCCATTTTCCATATTGGCTATACTTTCTTTCTTTATTAATTTATTTATTTTGTGGATGTTTTTACAGTTTTAATGTTTTTTTTAATTCTTTCATAATTTTAGAATTATAAGCTATCCAGAATCACTTGGTTGAATTGGTTGACTATAGAAAATGAATGAATGATTGAATGGGCTTTTATTGTGGTCTTGCTTATTTATTTATTTAAATAAAATTGTAACCTGCTTCTTTCAGGTACCAAGATGGCGTGTTATTGACTCTGATGTTACTGACTCTGATGTTGTGCAAAGTCAAGTTATTAACGTTACAGTTTATGAAGATGTTCATCCTGCTCCTGAACTAAATGAAGAACAACAAGAGTAAGTTCATAATGCTGATATATTAAGAAAGGCATTTGTTTTGCCCTACAAAACTTCCAACAGTGATATCTGTCTTTTTTATCGTCCATCAACCTTGTTGCTGATAGTCCTCATGTCTTTCTTTACCTTTTCCTATAAGTAAAATATGATAATATTCTTTAAATTTCGTAAGGACTGACACATAGAAGAGAAAGTTGAATGCTTATTGTTACCATAGGGAGAATGATTAAATTCATTGGGTTTAAGTAACAAGAAGATAGTGTTCAGCTGAATAATTTGATAATGACAGTATTGTCTGAGAGTATTGCTAATTACTTAGAATTAGGAATTGACTTTCTCATCTTGAAAATGTTTTAATTCTTATTTCCTGTATCAAACAGGGAATGAATTAAATAGCCTTCAAGTTCCCCTTCTCCCCCAAATACTCCCTTTCTCCCTCAAAGTTCTTTGAGATTTACAGTATAATCTCTATGCATGTTTCCTAATTGCACTGAATTCATTGGAATTTGCTGCCAAGCTCAATTATATTGGGGAAGGGAATAAACCTTGGAAATAATTTTGTTGTTGTCAAACAGTTCTGATAGTCACAGCATATTTCTATACATAGCCCTGGAATAAAATAATTCTGACCTCAGAAAGTCAGGCTACATTTATACATTACTTAAAAATGGTGTTTTGTTCTCATGATGACCACTCAAGCTATGTATTTGTTAAACATAGTTTATGGCTTAATATTATATGTGAGGCCACTCCATATCATTCAATCTATAATTTAGATTATAACAATATAAATATACATATTTTGTATCAAATTCTAGTTAATTTTTCTTCTTGACTCTAATCAAAACCAAAGTAGGACATATATGCTGGAAGTTTGATTATCACAAAAATATTTGGCAATACTGTATTCAGGAAGGTTTTTGTTGAACTGGTATGAGATTACAGAACAGCAGATGAAGTCCATGGATCCCTCAAATTTAATTTCAGAATAAAATTGTCCCAAATCTTGTGAGGTTTGATAGTGTTATGGGATTTCAGCCTTCGAAAATCTTCAGAAACTCTGCATTATATGTGATTATGCAGAATTACACCGTCCTTGGAACAACTTCAGATTCACATGTTATTGTTTGTTTTACACACACACACACACCCACACACACAAACACGCACACACATGTACGTACGTGCGCACACATATACAGTATATTCATATTCACTCCTGAGTTGGAAAGGGAAAGTAATAATCTTTCTTATGCTGTTAAGGCTGTGATTAAATAATACTCTTTTTCCTTTTAGTGAGACATGAAAAGAAAAATGGAAGCCAAATTATTACATCTGTTTCCATAGAGAACCAACAATTGCCTGCAGGAAAAAAAATTCTGACATATGATACAAATTTCACCTCAATGTTAAAAAGCAAAATGCTTTCTCATGGACTGCATTTCTGACAGAAATGGCTTATGGTTATTAGTTAGACTATAAAAGTTACCGCTCCAAAGCTACAGCAAAATGTTAAAATATGATATGGTGTTCAATTATTTTATTCTAGAATGGGGGATTGCCCATTTTGCCTAACAAGGATGGCAGTTTTGTTATTTTTTTAATGCAACAAATGTGCCTTATTATTTTGCATAAGCCTATACTATCTAAAAAGGAAAAACAGCAGAATGTTAGCAAGTACAGTAGTACGATATTTTTTTTAATAAAGACCATTTTTTTAACACCAGCACCAACTAAAGATTTATCTTCAATTAAAATAATATCCAGAACTTCAACTGATATAGTTCATAATCTAAATAGTATACTTTTCTATTTGTCGGCATTTAATGCACGGAGTATAAAATATAATACTAGCAGCAGTGACTAGAGTCAACATAAAGTATGATGCGGAAAGTTATTATGATCATCATTCTCCCTCAATCCCAGCTATCTAAAATTCTAATCAGCAGAAGGAATAAGAGTGGAGGGAGGAGCTTTTTAATTAAATTCACTGTTAATTGTCTTGGGAATCTCAAGTCTGTTTGGGCTCTAAATGAACACAATGGATCCACTTTTCAAATATCTGATTCGTTTGCATTCGTTTGTTTACTTAGAAACACTCAATATACTTTAAAAATCATTTCTTTCTATACAACTGTCTTAAAATGACTGTATTTTGTGTGTGTGTGTGCGCGCGCGCGCGCGCACGCGCGTGTGTGTTTCCAACATCTATCTTTATTTCAGGACTGCCCAATAAATGAAGACAAGTCACTGCTGTGTTTTGTGAAGTTAGGTTTAAACAAGGCTAACTTTCAAAAACCTTTTCAATATATATTTTTGTGCACGTCCTGCTCCAACACTCTGGATCCTAGTGTTTTAGATGTCAGTTTCTGAACACCAGGGTGGTATCTGCAATCATGAAAGCACATTCTGGGAACTTTCACAACCGCCAGCCTTAATGGAGAACTTAACCATCTCCACAATGGCTTGTTATGGTGGCCACGTCTATCAGAAAGCAACCTGAACAAAATAGTTCCTCCCAGTTCCAAACTAAAGTGGTGAGTTATAGCCAGCCACTATTCCTAAAATATCTATGTTATACCCAGAGTATTTTTTGTAAATAAAAATAAGAGTGGATATTTTACTTGGAAGCATGCTAGTTTCCAATAATAATAATGAATAAAATATCCCTTTAAAAGCCAGGTAGTTCAGGAACCCTGCTGGGAAAAAGGGAAATGATTATATAGTCTCATGCTGCCTATTTCTTAACTTAGTGCCACCTTGAGCATAATTAAAAGATAATTTCAGTACAGATTATTATGATTATGATTAGATCCATTTTATTTTACGTGTATCAAAAATAAAATTCTTTATCAGAGTCAAAGAATTTGTCTCAAATAATGCCTATAGACTATATACATACATATATTACATATTGTGTAACAAATAAACACTCTGATTGTTAAAGAGTAAAAAAATGTGGAAATATGTCTTCATGCAAATAGGTTTCTCTGTATTGTAATATATAATATGATTTAATCAAAACCAAAGTATTATAGTTTTTATTTATATCATTGTCAGATGGATGATGGATTCAGTATGTATATATTTTGTTCATTTGCTGAGTTATAAATTTATGTTATTCATTTGTAAAGATTTTGAATATAAAAAATAAAATTATATAAATATGCAACTGTATATTGATTATTTTTATTCTGGGAAAAAGGTTGTTTTATTCACTTTTGTAATTAAACATCTTAATCTAGAAAAATAATTTTTCACAAATTCTTATTTCAAAATAAATTGATTAGATTTTCAGGTGCCATAAAATTCTTCAGTTTTTTACTTCAATAGATTAATATTAATTAATTCATTCATTCATCTGGAAAGAATTAATGTGGTGGTCTTGCCAGGCACAAAGACAGATACAGATCAACGAGCACATTCACAATGAATTTTATATCACTTTTATATCCAATATATTCAGAAACGGGTTTTATAGCTTATGTGGTTTTTAAAAATAAAATATTACAGGTCACTCTGGAAATTCATTCCAATATTAAAGGATTTGTGAATAAAGTGATGCGTCATCAAGTCATTTTTGATTCCTTGTGACTACTTAGATAGATCTAACCAGGCTCTCAGAAGGGTAATTATTGCAACTGTAACAGTATACAGCCTCATAGCTGCTGGTTGTTCTCTTTTCTTCCAACTTTCCCAGCATTAGAACTTTTTTCAGAGAACTGAGTCTTCTCATAATGTGTCCAGAATAGGATTATTTCAGCCTAATTATTTGTGTTTCAAATGAGAACTTTAAGCTGATTTATTTGATCCATCATTTTGTTTTCTTTGCTGTCCACAGTATTCTTGGGATTATTCTTCAACACCAACGTTCAAAGGCATTAATACTTTTCCTATCCTGCTTCTTTATAGTCCAACTTTCTCTTCCATAGTGTATGGAATACCATGGCTTGTATGGTATTTCTTAAATAGCTGGACTCCTATTCAGATCAGGAATACACATGTCTATGTATGTTTCAACAAAGGACATGATTAATATTTCATGTCAGCCCATAATGCCAGTGTTTTCTTTCATTTAGTTTTAAAATTGGCTACCATTCTTCAAAATTAAATTAACCAAGATAATAGAAATGAGATTTGACAGTAATGACACATGTAATTTGATTAATAGTGGCAACAAAGATTGCTAGAATTGCTTTTTCTAAGTAGGGCAGTCTTACGATATCTCACTAAACAATTGGATCACTTAGTGGTCATTACCTGTAACTGCTTATTGGAAAGATAATGAATTTATGATTTAACAAATCATATGTTATGTGGTAACTAGAAGTAATACAAATTAACTCAAACATTTGAAGGGATAACTTGACCATAGATACTTTTCTCTTTAAAAGATTGAAATATATTTTACAATAATATATTGAACTCATGCAGATGTTTGGATGCTACTTATTATCATATTGGTGGTCGTGTAAAAATATAAAAGCTTTTGGATTAAGATATGGTGGAATATTCAAAGAATTTTTAGAAGGAGGGTAAAATTTACCCCACAATTGTTTTTGTTAGGTATTATTATTGATTGTGATACTAAGGAGACTACACTGATGTTAAATTTAATTACAGCCGCAAGGTTGTTAGTAGGGCAATGTTGGAAGAAGGAATCTTTGCCTACTTTGCAAGAGTGGTTTCTTAAAGTTTCTTATTTGGCGGAAATGGCAAAGATTTCAGCTTTTTTGAAGGATCAATCTCAAGAGAAGTATGTTGTGGTATGGAAAAAATGGATAGATTTTATACAATATAAGTTAGATATAAAAATATTATTTAGTTTTTTAACAATTTATATTCAAAATGGAATATTTTGGGTTTTTTTTCTTCTTTTTTTTCTCTGTTCTTTTTTCTCTTTTTTTATTCTTTTCTTTTTTAAACATTTATCTTTTGTATCTATGTTTATATATATATATATATATATATATATATATATACTATTGTTAATCATTTTATAATTTTTTTTAATTAATGTATTTAGATTTTTAACTAATGTTAGATTTATTTATGATTTATAGCTTTTTTTAAGATTTTTTGATGAAATTCTAATTAAGCCTATATCCAGCTCTGGGAAGGTCGGGGGAGGGAATGGGGGGGTTGGGGGGAAGATTGTTTTGTTTTTGTTTTTGTAAAATGTTAAAAATTTAATAAAAATTATCTTTAAAAAAATAATAATAATATATTGAACTCTATTCATCCATTAATTTCTCAAGGTACTATTTACAGTAAGTTGATTTTTTGGTATTATTTATTAACATACAAAAGCCAGTTTGGGGTCATGGTTACGGTGTCAGAATAGAACTTGGGAAATTTAGCTCTGCATTTGGCATAGAGCCAGATAGGTGACTTGGGCCAGTCCTTTTCCCTCAGCCCTACGAAAGACACAATAGCAAACCACTTCTGAAAAACTTTGACAAGAAAACTGTAGGAGTTACCCCAGACAGTGTCCAAGAATTGGCACACAACTAAAACAGAAGATGAAATATTATTAACATGCAGTATACATTGGTACTGAATATTGGTACTGTATGTTGACCACCATATAATTTTCTATACTTTTATTTGATAATTTTAAATTTTATCTTTTTTTTAAAGAAGTGAGATAAGTGAGATCATCTACTTCAAAAAAAGCATGTCAAACTATCATTGCCCAATGTACTTAAACAAATAGAAAAATGTGGTGACATTATTTTCTGTCAAGATGTAACAGGCTCTAATTTTGAAGATGTTTTCAAAATAAGATTTTATAGCAATGTGGATGACTCATGATCCAGCAATTCAGATAATATATAAATCCAGATGAAGGTATGGATTTATGGGCAAGATTCCAGCACAGATTTATGTCAAGATTTATGGGCAAGCTTCCAGCACAGGGCTTCCTAAAGTTAAATCTTGCAGCAAAAATAAAAGAGGAAGAGAGATTAAAGAAATTGCCAAAGGAGAATTAGCTGAAATGTACATATGAGAAGTGTTTGTAAGATCTGAATGCATGGAGCTATCATAGCTTGTTCTTTAAAACTCCCAAAGTCTTTATCAGAAAACAAAATATTTAATTGTATCCTTTTGACCTGTTTGCCACAGCCACTATATACAACAGCATTCTGTATATTACTTGCCATATTATTGAAACAGGGCCACTGAATCTCATTGAACAAATCCATGAATTTAAATTCTTAACAAATATACTGTAGCAAATTTCACAAAAAAGAATTCAAAGTTAAATTTTGTAATGAGATTTTCACATTCGCTGCAGTATGTATGACCTCTCATACTAATGGTAGTTCAGGTAGTTATATGGGATAATCTTCATGAAAAAAATAAAACTATGTTAACTATTTTGATATAAAGCAACGTTTTGGAAATTTTGTCAGTATTGCAAAAAATTGCATTCAGACACCTACTATTTTTGTGGAAATATTTCAGCAAAAAGTCTTGTCTCAGAAATATTTATTATTAAAGTTGGCCGTTCCAAAATATGCTACTTGTCAATCTAAGTATTTCCTTAGAAACACATATTTATCAAACTATAGCCTAGGAGCAATACTTATCAAAGCTACTGACGAAGCTTCACCAGAAACATCAAAGGCTATAACACAATATACAGGTATCTCTCAATTTACAATAGTTCATTTAGTTACCATTTAAGATTATAACAGAATTGGAAAAAGTGACTTATGACCATTTTTCACACTTATGACCGTTGTAGCATCCCTATGGTCCACAGGATCAAAATTCAGATGCTTAGTAACTGGTTCATACTGTATTTATGACAGTTGTAGTGTCCTAGGATCATGTCAGGTCAGCTTTTGAGGCCTGACAAGCAAAATCAAAAGTGAAGCCAGATTCACTTAACAACCATGTTACTAACTTTACAAATGTAATGATTCACTTAGCAACTGTGGCAAGATAATTCATAAAATGGGACAAATCTCATTTAACAAATGTTTCACTTAGCATAAATTTTGGGCTCAAATATGGTCGTAACTCAAGGACTACCTGTACATATTTATATCTAATCTCAAGAAATTAACAAATGACAAATAAGATCCATTCATATAGAATATAGCTTTCTTGAGTTTGATCTAGAGTCTGCAAGCAGTAATGTGATCAAAGCATTCAGAGAAACTGGATTTGTATGTGCTCATTTCCCAAAGCCATATCAGAAAATTGAAATTCAATTTGTGAAATTAATAACAAGAATAAAAACCTAAATCACTATCAGCAGTCAAAATGGATTTTCTGCGATGGCAGGATTTATATGAACTGATATTTCGCAAGCTAATATTGCTTTGGAGAAGGACTAGATGATATATTAAGTATTTGTATTGGGGCATAGACATAGCAGACTGGAAAGATATCTGATTTATTGAAGTAGCTAGATTAACAAACAGGTACATGTTTGTTTGAGTCTGCCAATGATGAATGGTATTATCCAAAAATTAAATTAAAAAATCTCTAACTTTTACCCTCAGAAGCATTTTCTTCTACAGTTCTTCCCTCAAAAGAAAAAGTCCCCAGGATTGTACTGGAAATTCTTCACTGAGTATTAAGAAGTTAAAAACAATAAACTATTTTCTGAATTAACAACAAAAACCCCCAAGAACAGCATTTTTGTCATGATGGGAAAGTATATTGATGGATTTTTTTTTCTCTTCTGAAAATTGTACTTCACCTTGCATTAAATGTGAAAACGGAACCTCTGATTGAATCAGAATCTCAGGCTTCTGATCAATCCTCCTCAAAAACAATCAGCCTTTATCATCATCTAGGCCAGCAATGGTAAACCTATGACACATGTTTCAAAGGTGACACTTCACAACATTTTAGGTGACACCAGTATTCACCAATACCTGATAACTATTCTTGAAAGCCCTCCCCATTGTTGCGTGTGCGTGTGTGTGTTTTGAGGCTGTGCAAGAGGACACTGCAAGAGGTCTGTGTTCCCACATGGCCTCCAGAGCCTCCGAAATGCCTGTGAAAAGGGGGCATGTTTTCATATGGTCTTTGGAGGTTATTGAGGCCAGGGAAGAACATCCTCCAAAGCTGCCTCATGCCATCCAGAGCAGCCTTGGGTAGGTCGCATGGGCCTATCAACAAAAAGAGAAGGTAA